GAGAGAGCGAGAAAGAGAGAAAAAAGGAAGAGAAAGGGGTCAAGATGCGTATTTAGGGCGCCGCAGCCCGCCAGGGGAAAGGAGAAGGAAAAGAAAAGAAAAGCAAAGAGAAGAGAAGAAGAAGACGAGGAAACAAAAGGGGTGTAGTATGCGTTTTTAGGGCGACGCATCCCGCCCAGACAGGCACAGAGGATGAAGACCAAGGCTCGAGGAGGAAGACGTCGAATCCCACATGGGGGCCAAGAGGACGGACACGAAATAGCAACGGAAGGGGAAGAAGACGTCAAGCCAAACTACGTGAGGAAGACGAGGAGTAGGAACAGGTAGACGGACAAGAAGACGAAGAGGAGGAGAAAGGTGAACGACGCGAGGACAACCAGGCCATCCCTGAGCGGGCGAAGAGGAGGAGGACGAACGCGCGGGTCACGAAAGGCAGCAAGAAGAGAACGGGAGGAAGGAGAAGCTATCCCTAGACGGGCGAGAACCAGAAGACGGACACGCGGAAGACGAAGGCGAGAAAAGGTGAGACGTAACTATGAAGAGGTGGCTGTCTTCCCTTTAAAGCATGTCCAGAGTGGACTGGGTGTTTTCCATTTCGCAACTGGGTGTTTTGCTAGCTGGTGCTTCTGTACTGGTTTTGTGCCTTGCCGCTTTGTAGCATAACACGTGCCTTCCCATTGTCACTAGCAGCTCTTGGACAACAATATCCGCTATACCGTCAGCTACTTGACAGGCCTCAATTCCACTACTGGAAGAAACAAATTTCAGAAATTGTGCTTGGCGCATCTTGGCGCCGTGCTGACCAGCAGGGGAAAGGACGCCTTGAAGGAATCTCCCACGATGCTGGTGGCAACCAAGCTTGCGGTAGGACACATTTCCAGACAGTATGGTAGGCCCTTGCTTTGCTCTGATGTTCGCTTGTTTCTGTGTGAGTCGCGGCTCTCACGCTGCAGCACTTTCGCCCATACATTCCCTGGACCCCAAGAGTGGTTGAAGTCAATCGCTTTGAGACTAGATTCTGCTATAACACACCTCTTGCAGATAGCTGTGCCCTTGCACGTGTTTGGGCCTTGCAAGGAGGGAGCCCGTTCGTACGGACAAGTGAGTAGCCAAATCCCCTCAAAAAATAGGGATCCCCTAGCATCTGTTCGGCTCTTTAACATTGCCTAATTTGGGGAAAGGTTTCGAGGTCACGCCCAGGGGTCACACTTCAAATTTGTAGAAAGGGTTCGGCCCGACCGGAGGCCAAAGAAAACTTTCACAGCACCATGCGGCGTTCCACACGAATCAAGCCACGCGCGCGAAGAGCCCCAACTTCAGCCATGAGCCCAGACTCGCAAAAAAAAAGAGGCTCTCCTACAAGCCGCGCTGTAGCCTAACACAGCAGGATGTGTTCATGAACATGGGTCTTGTCAAGGGTGCCTGCTCCCCTGATGGGGGTCTTGTCACTGATGCGCAGCGAAAACTCGCGCTTGGATGTGGGCATCAGCGCGACAACTGCGCGCTCCTTTTCAACACATCTTAGCGTACGTTCTTGTGTCCTGCTCTGTTCCTGCCTTGAAGCTTCTTTTTCTCGGGCCTCCCCCACTCGACTCTCAGCCCAGCCTGCAGCTGCCCATGTAGGCCAGTGGCTGTGTGCGCCCCTTGAAGCAATGACTGACATGCTTGACCGCTCCTTGAACTTGCTTCGTGGTCCTGCAACGTGAGGACTAACTGGGTTTGGGGTCAGTGCGCACAGGGGAGCAGGCACCCTTGACAAGACCCACGTTCATGAACACATCCTGCTGTGTTAGGCTACAGTGCGGCTTGTAGGAGAGTTTTTTTTGCGAGTCTTGGCTCATGGCTGAAGTTGGGGCTCTTCGCGCGCGTGGCTTGATTCGTGTGGAACGCCGCATGGTGCTGTGAAAGTTTTCTTTGGCCTCCGGTCGGGCCGAACCCTTTCTACAAATTTGAAGTGTGACCCCTGGGCGTGACCTCGAAACCTTTCCCCAAATTAGGCAATGTTAAAGAGCCGAACAGATGCTAGGGGATCCCTATTTTTTGAGGGGATTTGGCTACTCACTTGTCCGTACGAACGGGCTCCCTCCTTGCAAGGCCCAAACACGTGCAAGGGCACAGCTATCTGCAAGAGGGGTGTTATAGCAGAATCTAGTCTCAAAGCGATTGACTTCAACCACTCTTGGGGTCCAGGGAATGTATGAGAAGAATGCTGTATCCGTCATAGCTGGGGAGGGGTAGGGGCCTGGCTGGTAGATATTTGGGGGCTTCGGGCTTGAGGGAAGCCATGTTTAATTGTGAAGGTGTGGGAGATTCCTTCAAGGTCATTTCCCCTGCACAATTTCTGCAAATTGTTTCTTCCAGTAGTGGAGGCCTGTCAAGTAGCTGACAGTAGGGGATACTGTTCTCCAGGAGCTAGTAGTGACAATGGGAGCGCACGTGTTACGCTACAACTGCTATCGCGTCAAGGACTGCGCAAGGCACAAAACCAGCACAGAAGCACCAGCTAGCAAAACACCCAGTTGCGAAGTGGAAAACACCCACTCCACTCTGGACATGCTTTTTAGTGAAACCTCGTTCCTGCTTAAACGTGAAGTTCCGCGATAACGAACCGGCCCGGGGTCACACGATGAGTACACCCTAGGTTCCCCCAAGATGGGGTGATCACACTTGAACTCCCGAAGGAGGGTACTCATCAAAGTACTGTATGGGTCTTCGAGAAATAGTTTCGGCTGGCAGGTCACTTGGCTTCCCTGGGGCACAAAAGAAGCAACGGCGGTTCAGGGAGGGGACCAAAAGGACCTTAAATCACTTCTGCAGGTACGTTTGCGCAGCAAACTGGATGGGTCTTCGTTGGCCCGCGCCATCCAATTGCTCGCCGGCCCCTGCGGTTGTAATCATAATTAAATGTGGTGGCAGGGTATCCTGCCACTCCGCACACACACACACACACACACGGACGGACGGACGGACACACGGACACACGGACACACGGACACACGGACAAGCGGACACACGGACACACGGACACACGGACACACGGACACACGGACACACGGACACACGGACACACAGACACACAGACGCGCGGACGCGCGGACACACGGACACGGACACGTTGAACGTGCACACACAGACACGTGTGACCTGTATTGAGTTATGTATATGCAATACCAACACATTAAGCATGCATGAATGCCTTCAGAGTACCCAACACGTTTAGATTTCCTTTGGAAACGAGATGGCTTGCCCAAATCAACGAGATCAGAATGGGGTAGTGTGCAGCACACCATGCAAGCCGAGATGAAACGAGATCAATTCTTTGTCACTCTGATGATGCAGGAGCAGCCGGCTTCGGGGCGCGCAACAAGCAAGCCGAAACAATTCCAGACACGAGTCCAAAACAAGTCCAAGTTATTGCCAAAGGGCTTCGTATACTGTACTTGGACCAATCAAGTGTGACTTTTTTTGCTGGAGCAGCCAAGGCATACTTCGCATACTACACTTGTACTGAAAAGGCTACAAGCTTGAAAGCGCAGAAAACGAAAAGAGAGGCAACACGAGATGGTCGTTTGCCTTGATGTGCGTCGATTATGATATAAAAGGAGTCAAGCAAGTCTACAACGAGATCAAGCTAATTTCGGCGTTGCTGAAGGCCAGACGTGATGCAGCGTAACACTCGGCTTGTCCCAGCTCAATGTCTAATGTCCTCTTTAGTGCGGTTCCTCAGTTTTGAAGGGAACACCCCCCCGATGAATTGGGCGGGTTCTACTTGGCTCCGGGGGCCAAGAGGGTCTCTGGAGCATGCAGCCTAGGAGCTCCAAGAGCGTGGCGGAAGCGTTGCTTGGACTGTGGCGCTTGGGAAGAGGGGATGGCCCATGGGCTTAACGGTTTAACGGACCGCAGCAGGCGGCGAAAACCAGTAGCCCCCTGGGGCGCCAATTTTTGATTGTTTGCAAAGGACCCGATATGGACCCTTGCGTTTACTTGAATACTGGATTCTGCGTTCCGGCGCCATGATATATCACTGCAGCGGGCCTTATTCGACGTCCGTATTTATTTTCCTCAACTGAAGAGCCAGGCTAGTGTTAGACAAGAGCATGGAACTAGTGGTTGGCAGATTCGAATGTGTGTCGTTTGTATTATCCGTTCCGTGTGCTTGTTCCAGTTGCCTGGTGGAGGGCTTTATTTCAGCTTCCATCCGTAGGACTCGCCATGAATCAGCACACCAGTGCATACAGGCTGACCAGCATCGCGTTTTGGGGCCTTTGATAGAGGAAGAAGGGCTTGGATTCGTCATCGTATGAGCTGCCTCTCTTCAACGAGTGGTGATCATTCAACACGGATCGCACTCAAAGAGTCCATGATGCCTCATTGGAGCTGAGAGGTGTTATTGCATTTGCTGCACAGTCTGCGTGGCATACTCTGCGCCCTGCAATGAAGCACACTTACTTCTCTTTCGCTGGCTGCTTATTAATATGTTTGCCTTTTGCTGGATGGTATTTGTCTTTTTTTTGCGGGTACCTTTTTGGGGTTGGTTTGAACGGGGCACCAAAAGGACACCGTTGCCATGTTGCGGGTCCCCCTATCCCTATATTCAGACAATTGATGAATAAACCCCCGATGACTATGAAGAGGGTTCCCTTTTAAGCGGGGAATGCATTCTTCCAGGACAAACCCCCTGATGTTTGTCAATCCGGGGTACCTTTTTGGGGGTGGTTTTTGTTTTTGCGGGAAACCAACAATAAGCCCCGTTGCCATGCTTGGGGGTCCAACTCCCTTTCTCTATTTTGAGCCAAGCCCACATTTCATGTTGGGGGGGAGGGAAGCTCTTATTGAGCCCTTTCTTCAGGCCTTATTTAGTCCCTGCCCCTCCCCCTCCCCCCCAACCCCCCCGCCCGCGAGTAGTGAGCCTCTCGCCTCTTCTCGCTTGCGACCATCGACTCTGAGGCTCTTGGAGAAGGTGCGAGGCCACGTGCCGCTGCCCGGCGCTCCGGTTCTGGATGGCGACCCTCGGCGCACGCCCGGTTTTTTTCTTCTTTTTCTCGGGGCGGGGGAGGGGGGAGGGGTGGGTGAGTGGGTGATTTTTGTTTTTTGGGCGGAGTGTGGTCTTTTCACGATAGGTCAGATGGGGGCTCTCAAGTTTAAGCTTGTGTGTAGCTTCAAATGGCAGTTCTGTGGGATCCCCGCACAACGCATCACTGCTTTCTTTGCGCTCCAGATACCAGGTATGGTTGCCTTGGTTTGATTCACACTCCGGAGGCCCGTGTGATTTTAGGACAGGCATGAGAGGGTTCTCGGGTGAAATTCACAAGCCATTTGGACAGCTCCTCTAGTCTGGGCCAATCAAGGCTTCGCCGTGGCGGTGTCTATTACTCCTTGGCCTCCAAGCATGCAAATGAGTCAGCATTTCAATCGCCTTCCCAGCTGGGCCCTATGCTTCGGTGGGTCCACCGATCTGGTTGCTTGAAGTGCTGCTGGGGATGGTCATCAGGCGTACGGAGATTCTAGAGGATTTTGATGGTTCTGACTGCGTGGGAGCCTTGCAAAAAGGGACGTCCCCGAGCACTGCTTTCCCCTGGATTTGTCCTTGAAATCCACGCGAAGCGGGAAAAGCTGGGGCAAACCGCACAGAGTCTTGGTTCCAATATGGGTCTGTTTTGTTTGACGGTATCCCTTGTTTTTGCGGTTTTAAGTGGACCCGAACAGGAAACCCATCATTTTTGGGGGTCCAACCTTCAAAGCAGACATATTATACATATATATATATATATATGGTCCCCAGGACCCCCCCCCCCCCGGCCCGAAACCCCAAGCCCGGGATCCTGGCACCTACGGTCCCACCCCACCCCGACCCCCTGAACTCGCACCCCGACACCCCGGCACCCCCACCCCCCCAGGCTAAACCAATCCCTAAACAATAAACCCTAAACCTAAGCCAACCCTAAACCAACCCTAAACCAACCCTAAATACACCCTAAACCAAACCCTAAACCGTACACCTCTAAACCTAAACCAACCCTAAACCAACCCTAAACCAACCCTAAACCAACCCTAAATCAACATAAACCAACCCTAAACCAACCCTAACCTAACCCTAAATACACCCTAAATATACTCTTAAACCAATTCTAAACCAACCCTAAACCACCACAACCCAACCGCAGGACCACAACCACAGGGGGGGGTTACTTGTCTGACCCATGACCATTGGGGGGGGGGCCTGGCAACCCTGTACCATATATATATATATATATATTATGTGACACATCGGGCTCCAACCTTAGAAAAGACACACAACCGTTGGTTAAAATTTTGGGGGAGTCCATTCTCGCCACAAGTTCCATGTTTCCCTGAGGCTTCCTGCGGGCCCTTTTCCCTTTGGGGCCCTGGAACACCACAGGTCGTTGGGGGCTTTTGTACCTAAAGGGGCGATCGGGTACATAGTAAGCGGCTGGTAAGCCAAATTGTAACCCACGAAAGCCATGGCAAAAAATGTCTCCGTGCAGTGGGTTATAACCAGGCTCGCGAAACACTTATTAAGTAGCCGATCGCCCCTTTCTGCATTCGGCAACCCATACCCAAGCCCGCACGCCAGCGTTGAAAAGATGCTCTTGCCCCGCTGGTCTCATGACAACTTTGGTCAACTTTTCCAGTCGCCGGGCCTATTAAAAGGCATGAACAGACTCTTTGTATGCGAAGCGAGCAATCTTGACTGCTTACAACTAAACGGGCTGGACTTTCATGGCTACTTGGTTGGATCTTTGACTTCTTAACTTCTTGGTTGAAACAGTACGGATTGTCCAAAGGGGACTTTCCAAAACGTGAACAGCGGGTTCGTTACGGCAACCCAGTGGAGCTCGAGGTCTCTGGCTGGCAGCGAGGCTCCCCTCTTTCGGTTGTGCGAAATCGATCGATCTAAGGAGCTGCTGTCCGACGTCGGGGGTCCGAGTTTCGACAGGTTCCTCGATGATGTCCTGTCACGGGTCGGAGAGCTCAAGGAGAATTGTAGTTTGGCCCCCATGGGGGTTGATCAATTCTCCGTTCGGCCCCCAAATGACCATACGGGTAACTTTGCCATTGGGGGAAGTCACCTGTTTTTGCGGTTTTCCCTGGTCATCCCTTGTAAAGGACCTTTTGATCAACTCTGTACATGGAGGTGTCTTTTAAGGGAACCTCTATTTGTGGGTTTTAGAGGGAAGCCAAAAGGAAACCACACCCACATGCATGTTCCAAAAACGAGCTTCCGCTCTCGGAAAGTAAACAGGCCTCTTTTTCCGGGTTAGACCCGTGCACCCGAACACGCCGCTAAACAGGAAGCCTTGTGTCGCATATGTCAGGCCATGTCAGGCCTATGTTTCAGGCACTCCTCTCCTGCAAACGGGCAAAGCTTGCAAAGCCGTGCAAGGGTAAAACTGTGCACCTCCAAAAAGGTAGCTTATTTGCATTTGCAGCATTCCCCCCTCGTGGGACGAAAGAGTTAGAGGGCACTCTTTGTAAAGGGCACCCTTGCCATCGCTTAATGTGACAAGGCCAAGGGCTGGCATACGAAATATGTCTTGGTCTTTGCGTGTTTTGTACAAGCTTGGTCCCCAAATGACCACAGAAAAAGGTCCGGTTTGTGAAACAAAAAGCAGACCATCCAATTCGCTGCCGGTGGTCACCGTCGCCGAAGGTGGAGAAAGAAGCTCGGTACGGGCTCCTGCAGACGCAGCATCGGGCCTGGACGCCCAGAACCATGGCCTTGCCGCCCGGCGATGCCTTGGCTTGCTGGTTCTCAGGCAATGAGTTGCAATGATCTCTACTAGGTCCCCCAGCCAGGTGCCCTTTCTCGCCCCTTTTTTTTTGGGGAGGGTTCCCCTACTAAACATAGACTACTGACAAGAGTTGGTACCAACTTATTCTAACCTCTCAGGAGGACCTAGTCTACACATCGCCGGTTTCCTTTACGAGAATCCCTCGGTTCATTCCAAAGAGCCAAACGTCATTCCCTGAGCACCAAGTTGGGCAAGGGTCAAACAAACAGCGGCAAGCCGGAGGCTTTAGTCCTTTTCCATTTACCGCAACTCATTAAATGGGTGCCTATGTTTGACCCACAACCGTATAACCACCATGTACCTGAGTTTGAGTATTGATGTTGGGTCCACCACTAGTTTCATGGGTGGACCCCTAGGGGTTTGTGTCAGAAGCTGCCAAAGTAATCCTCGTACAAATAGATCATAAAGTGTCTTCTTTTGAGACCCTGTTTAGGGTTGTTCTCCTTCGGACACCCGAAGGAAACAACCCTCAGGAGTTGTCGTCCTAACTTGTAAGACGCATCGATATACATACACAACATACCAGTTTCGCTGTTGCGTGGCCCTAAGGGTGCCTGGTTTCTTACACATACGCAATGGCAGCACGCTTTAGGTATGATTCAGAGGCTCACCTGGCAATCGTTGCTTTTGCGATGCATATTCGATGCGAGTGGACACCTCAGCCAGTACGCGTACCGTTTGATTCTTTCTGGGGGTTATATGTTACCCTCCCATCCACCACCATGGAATCTGTCGTTCGGCAGATCCCGGAACACCATTTTCCTCTGAAAGGGACCCTCTGGTAGGTTCCAGGTGCAGGAGTATATGGTAGACAAACTCTGGGCGTGTCTTTTGTTAAGGGTACACCTTTCTGGCTTGCAAGCGAAACCAGCAGAAGATAAGTCCTTCTTGGGGGGGAGGATCCCCCAAAAAGGAGAGATCTTTATGGAAGACAATCTGACCATCTTGTTTTGGTCAGAGTTCCATCGCACGCCAGGCGCTTCAAAGCAGCCTTTCGCTTGGCAAGGTCGTCGAGAAAGTGGGTCGGGGACTTGATGTCAAACTGCACAACATGGTTGATGGCCTTTGACTGGCCCCATTTTTCAATCAGTATCAAAGTCACCCCCCCGAGTGGTAGGTTAAAGGGAAACACCCCAGTTTCTGACTTTGATAACCCCCCAGAAATGGTCAAATAATGACCCCAGCTTGACTCCGCGTACCCGCAAAATAGCACGCACACACACACACACACATACTTGACTTGGCATTGAGAGCTTGGGCGAACCATAAAGTTGTCCTAGTGGGAGGTAGCCTCTTTGTACTTGGTGGCTCCCAGCCATCCCCTTAGCTTTGTAGCCTTTTAGTGTTTAGTGGTAGTTTCCATTTAACCCACTAAAAGTTAAACTTTTTGCGGGGGATCTGAGGGCAGCCCAGTGTAGAGAAGGTTGGGTTCATGATTTCTGGCTAGCTCACCCAAAGTCCAGCATAAAGCCCCCTGAAGCCAACGACGGGCCCTTTTTGGAAGACTGTAAAAGGCGGCAGCCGGCGCCAAGCTCCAAAAAGGGTCCATAGCTTTGACGCCCTTTTCTCATGGCCTCACAAACTGGTGGTACTTGTTACACACTTGTTATCATGATTTGCCTTCCGACCCCCAAACACGCAAAACAGAGCTCTTCAGCGGGGTCCCCCCCCTCCCTTGATTTTCCAAGGGACCAAAAGGCTAACCCCGTGGGTTGACATGTTCGAGGCCCCAGAGGAGGCTTGATACCGGAGCCATATAAAATGGAGGGAGCTAGCCCCAGACCAGGCTGCAATCTGCTTGGGCCGAGTGAATCGCGAGGAGATTTGGCGAAGTGTTTCTGTCGGCCTCATGCGGCAATGACAGATCGTACGATCGTCAAGTCCGAAACGGGATTGTACACGCTCTGTGCAAATCACCATGAGCCACAATGAGCTGACACATGATGAGCTTCTTGCCTCAATGCGGTGTCTTGAAACACTTGATGCACGATGGTTGACTAGGGCCAAGTGTCGCCTGTTTGGAGTGGGACATGCTCTATCACAGCATCCTGTAGCAGATGCAGAGAGAGGGAGAGTTCCTCTTTGACAAAAAGCCCACAGGTTTCATAGCTTGTCCGAACCATGCCTAGTGAGCCCTACGGTTTATCTAGTTCAAAGCCATACCGCGTGCCTTCGCGAGGTGGCAGTAAGCGCTACATCATCGTGCGCCAGCTCCCACCAGATGCCGCCCGTCTTGAGGGAAAGGGTGCAGCCAGGTTTCAGATAATAAACCACCACGCGCTGTGGCGTCGTAGTTTTGCGCCCATGGTTTTTGAGATACGCCGTGCACGAGAGTCGATTTGAAAGGGATGTCAACGGCCGGCATGGCTGATTTGGCTTGCTCGAGGAATGTCAAGCTTAGATGGGGTACATAGTGGTGCCATACAGCAGCTTGATGTGCCTTGTCAATTTGTTATTGTAAGAGGGGGTGAATTTAGGGATATGTTGGGTTTGGCATTTCTGAGATGTGAGCTCCGACCACTTCATTGAAAATCATAAGTGTCCAAACATAGGTTGAAAGCTATGTCTTCACAATGAAGGCGTTAGTGCATTGTTGAGACTCTCAACCGAATGCGTGTGCTAAACAAAGTGCTGTCGGTACGCATACCACCTTATGCTCGAAAGTAGCTGACAGTTCATCGCGTGCCGTATGCACATTGAACATCCAGCAGGACAATCACCAAGCTCGTTCTTTCCGCCCATAGGTGTTTCAAGGGTATGCCATTTGAAGCCGGCAGGCACGCTCTGAGGGGAAAGCACCTGTGTGCAGCGCAAAAAGCCGGACTGTTGTAAGAGCAGCTCTCCCATAATAGTATTCGCTGCAGGTGTCCTCCTCTCTGACCAGAGTTCTACGATAGACGCAGCTTCTTCCGCGCGTTTTCTTCGGTGAGCGGCGGTTGTGTTGGCCACAAGCTAATTTAGTAGGGAGAGAGAGATTATTATTGAAAATGTGCACCGCGCCACACGCGGAAGCATGCGGAAGGCTTCGAGGAAGGGATTTATTTTGCGAAATATTTGCAGAAGCTTTGTGACTGATATGAAATTAATTGTTTCAGTTTGCGTGCGTGGAAAAGCACGGAGAAACAATTACAGTAGAAGCAGAAAGGTGTTGCCACGTACAATAATCACAACGCTTACTAGAGCAGTTGCCAACAGCAAGCCAAGCAGACCAGAACAGCCGGATTGCGCGGAAAGGTGCGGAAGGTTCGCGGAAGCTCCGCGGACGGGTGGCCCCGTGTTTGCAGGCAAGTGCCCGCGTAGCACGGGTAGCCCAATGGAGCCCAAGCCTACACTGGCTGCGGCAAAACACTACTTAAAATTACTTTCCTTTTGGCACCAATCTCACGGAAGCAAATCTTGTAAAACATTCGCCGCGGAAGGTTTGTGGAAGCAAACAATGAAACCCATGTGCCGCGGAAGTTCGCGGAAAGGACCTCTTGGCCCGCGGCAAGGATGCAGACGGGTCCACGGAAGGTTGAATAATGTCCAATCAAGCTTGTAAGGAATAAAAACAATCGCTCAGTTGGTAACGGTATGATGTTTCAAGTTCTACCCTCCAAATTAACATGGAGCCTGACAGAGTCCCTTGAAAAGGACAATTCACACGGTCTTCCCGGAACCCCCGAACGTCAGGTTCCATGTTACTGGTGGCTCTGGTTTAATGTGGGGGCCCCTCCTCCCGCTCAACAGTGAAAGCAGTGCTCGGGGATCCTGAAAGCTCTGGCAGGGAGCCTGGACGACTTAAGTATTGCTGTCGTATTGCCACTACTTAACTTAGTATTGCCAGCACTTCCTGTTGGATTGCCACAACTAAGGTTAGTATTGCCTAGTCTAAGTTTAGTATTGCCTAGTCTAAGTTTAGTATTGCCAGGACTTACTCTCAGATTCCCAGTGCTTAGTTTAGTACTGCCTAGTTTAAATGTAGTATTGCCAAGACTTACTTTTTTATTCCCAGCGCTTGATTCAGTATTGCCTGGTCTAATTTAGTATTTCCATTACTTCCTTTTCGATTTCCCACCCACCGGGACATGAAATATGGTAGCGAAACCGTGCCCCTGAAAGATGCTCAGGGCCCCTTACGGGGACCCCCCTTTTGCAGAACTGTTCTGGGCGTGTTTTTTGATGGATTTAGGCAAAGGATTTGATGTTTGGGGCCAGGCATTCTCAGACCCTGGCACTGAGCCATGAAGCTGAGAGGAGAAGTCAGCTGCCCATATTGCGTATGTTGTTCAGGTTTTCTAGGAACGGGATTTTTTGGGCTTCGAGCTTGACATAAATCATGGTACCAAAACAGTTGGGGGGTCGCGTTTAAGCCGAGAACACTTGACATGATTACGGTTACCAGTAACCAGGTGCGACGTTAGTTGGTGGGGGGTAAGTTGGCTGCTACCTCTAAGTTGGATCAGCCTGTACCAACATGTTCATACCTGAAAAGTGTGAACCGATTCGGGGGGCCGCCAGAAAAAATGGGCGTTGTGCAGTCTCCGAGCGGTTTGGAGAGACTTGGCTCTGACAGTTTATCGGGAACACCCTGAAAAGCATAGGTGTCCTTTTTGGTTGTTTTGGTGGAAAAATAGATGGCCCTGGTTTACCTGGTGGTTTAATCATCTACCAGGGCCATCTATTTGCCCTAAACGGACACCTATGCTGAGAAATGGCTAAAGAATGGGCATGACTAGGCATAGACATCACCTCCCAGCCCAATTCAAGCTTACACTGTCCGAGGCCAAGGGCTACGCTTGGTTTCGTCGTTTTCAGCACTCAGAGCACATGAAGACTGCAAAGGCGCGAAGCGAGCAGACATTGAAGGGTCCATTGGAAGGGGTGGTGTGTTTCTTTCATTGGTTTCTGTGCCGATGTTCTCGTTTCAGGGTCTGCCAGATTGTTCCAGTTTCCGGGTAATTTCCCAATTCCAGCAGCAGAAGGGATTGATCCAGAAGTTTTCAAGGGTTTATGCAAGGGCTTGCTGCCTGCAACACTCTTCTTTGAAGTTGGTGCTTTTTCAATTGGGAGCTCCGTTGGTGCTGCCATGATGGCTTATCATATCTTATCATTCATGCAGTTGGTCATTGTTGCTGCAATCAGGGGCCATAATTTGGAGCCACAGTTGAAGAAGACAAAACAGGAATTCGAGATGGTTACTTAGGGTTTAGGCCAAGGCTTCAGGGGTCGTTTGATTTTGAGCGCTATTTTAGATGTCAGCCGGATTGTGTGTGTGTGTGTCAGGAGAATTTATCAGATGCGAAGGGGGAAGTGGGCGAAGACGGGAGTGCTGGTGAGGACAAGCTAAAGATTATCGGCTTTTAGGCGTTAGGGCACTTTAAGCGTCAGTGAGAACTGAAGCAGAACAGATTGGGAGGGAGGGGAGGGGGGAGGGAACTTAAGAGCTAATTTGGGCTCCTGAATTGGCTCTTTGCTCTGAGGGCTGTGTGGGCCTTTTTGCTGTTCCTTATTCAACGTTCCCTCTTGAAAGGGACATCCAGTGACCCTTGTTATTGTTTAAGTTTGTTCCAGCGCTATGTTTAAGCGCATTGGGACGAGCAATTCGCTTTTGTTTTTTAGTTCGAGTTGTGAGTGCCAGTTTGTGTAGATGTCCAGCTGCAGGCGCATGCCTTTTAGTGTTTTCTAGGATTTGTTTTGAGCATCATATTGTTGATGGACAAAGTGCTGCACTACCCAAGAAACTCTGGCATGATGATTCCCGTGCAATTACCAATGGTTTCCCATGGTTTCAAAGTGGTGCAGAATTTCGTCCATCCACAGTAGCATACTTCAGTCCAAATCATTCCTGGGAAGATGAGGGCCAGGTTGGGGCAACAAGACACTGGACAGTTTTCGGAACCATACCGTCCTTCGTTTATGTTCAACATGCTCCGTTCACGTCGCAAATTCAGCGCTGACTGGAGATGTTATGCCAACAAGGTCGCGTAAAACAGAGGGGCGAGCAGCTGCTAGCATCCCGGCCCCAAAGCCACCGAATAATGTTTGGTGGTCGAACCGCTGCTTCCCCTGCAAACGAAGCTGATTGAATTGATGTTGTGATCATGCTTGCACACCTGAGCAGTCTGCAGCATTGCTTCAGCATGCATGCTTGATTGCACATCTTTACAACCTAATGCTAGGCTAGCAAGATAGGTTTGAACATGATGGCAGTAGCAAGCTGTTGCTTCTGGTTGGCGCTCCTGGCTTCACCATTCCCCGTGTACCAGCTTGGGCAAATAGCATCTGTGCATATTCTCACTTGACCCAAAGCCGACCTTTTAACCCTTTGGTTTTCCCTGTTTGGCCCATTTTTGGTCCTGTCATGCTCCCAAAAGCCGATCAGCCTTTGTGTTGTTGGCACCTTCGGGTCCGCGTGCGGCGTGAGCATTGCCGCGTCCGTCGAGGAATTGGATTCAAGCTGAGACTCCGTGAGGAATTGGAGCCCGTGAAGCCTCTCACTTGACGCACAAACCGATGACTCTCAGCTTATGCTGGACAACGAACGGGATCCATTTCGCTGCCATGGGTCAGGCCTTTCAGCGGCTGTCAGGAACACCAGAACCATTAAACATAATTTGCCTTGTGTGGGAGCAAATAACGGATGCGGGGTGTTGATCGGACTTGATTGTACTGAACTCGGCAGCGATCAAACACTTTGCGAGGGTGCCATTGCTATGGCGCGCAAGGCTGATGAAGACCCAACCATGTCAGCCTGACTTAAACCTTTCAGTCTCAGCGATGTTCTCACAGCTGTTTCCCTTTTCACCCTGTTTCTTTTTCTGGCCCGAAGAAGCAAACAAATCACACGAGAGGGTTGTGCGGGTTGCAAGCGCGTGTTGAGGTCTTTGGGCACAGAGGCGGCCCGCGCTGGGCCATCTTGGAATGCCCCTCCGTGGAGGCCATGGGCCTTGCGTTTTGGGTTGACAAAAGTCTGCGCCGATGCCATGAGCCCTTTGGCCTTCCTGGATAGACAACAAATCTATTCCGGCCGCCAGTTGGAATTGGCGGCGAAATGAGGCCACGAGCCCGTTGGCCTTCCTGGATGGACAAAAATGAGGCAAGAGTTGGAATTGGTGGCGAAGTTCCTAGTATTTAGATCGGGTTTCTTCCATCCCAAGTGGTGGAGCTTGGTTCTCCATGGACGTTATGGATGTGTTTTCTTTTGGCTCATCCGTTCATCCTTTGAACACAACGATGTAATACCGCCTTTAGACAGTTGTTCACTCAACCCCGTGTGTTGATAGGTTTTTCAGTGTCCCTGGCAACAATCAGACGCTTCCTCCCTCCATTTGGAGATGTAGATGCACGATGCCTTGACATGTCTAGTTCGGTGAGACGCTGATTCGTTTTTGCCTTTATTTGAGTCGACGAGTTAATCATCTCACACGTTTTGGATTGGCAGGTGGGTAGTGCGTAAAAACTGCAAGCGCGTTTTGTTGTTTTCGTTGGCTTGGGTTGCCACACAATGTCAGGTAACCCCAAATTGGTGGTTTGGATTTGCGGTTTGGATTTGGATTTGAACGGGTCCCTGGCTTTTGTAGAGGGTAAATGTGATTTCCCCTCCATTCCCACCGAACCACCGCGCTCCAGACCGCCCTTTTTGGAGGGAAGCTGAATTCGACGGTCCAAGGAACTCATGGGTCGAATTTTCGCGCTGGTTCTTTGGGCATCTCTTGAGGTCATTGGAATGATCACACTTGAAGTGAGATCAGATGCAATAGTCTCTCGCAACAAGAAACCACGAGTGTTTCAAGAGGGTTGCGAGTGTCCTCACACTTCCATTTGCCGAAATGAACATGCTTCATTTCCCCCTGCTGGTTTTCAAACAACATCTATCACCAGTGGAAAAAAAGTCAGTCTTATTATTTTTCCAGGGGACACATTTTCCGCAAATGAAAAAAACAACCATGGCGCCCTCTTGCCCAAAAAAAAACGCCTCGGGTGTCCGAGCGACGGCTTCCGCGCCGCGAGGCCGCTGAGCGCCTGGCCAAAGAGGTGGTGGCTTACAAGGACCAGGCGCCGCGCCGATGGCGCCGCGCATGGCGATCGCGCATGCGGAGCGAGGCAAACGGGGCCATGTGGCACCCACCTCTGAGTCTGTGAGGATTCGTGGGTTGCGTCTTTGGACACTCTTTGGACGGCAGGTAGAGCAAAAACGGCTGAGGTCCTAAAACAAAATATGAGATCCCGGGTTTTTTGGGCATTCGAAACAACTCTTGGTGCGAGTCTTACTTCGCTTCTCTTCTTGGCGCCGAAAGGGCTCACATCCTGAGCCTGCGATGGCAATTCTGAAGCCCTAGACGAGTGAATTGTTGCATGGTGAAAGATGGCACACTTGCCTGGTTTAGACATCCCCTTAAATTCATTATTTTAGATGCATAAATTAAACATATTATATATATATATATACATACATGTGTTCATTTATGTAAACGAGGGAATTCTGCCGTGTACTTTCATGATAGCTTGGCAAAGGGGCATTGCTTCACGGTTCCTGGCTCATTCAGCCAAATGCCTCTTGGATACACTAGTTTTGGGTCGGAAACACATCCGGGTGGGAGTCCTTCGTTGGAATGGAGCGAAGGCGGATACAAAGACCCAATCCCCAAAGCACGCAACTGCGCTCCCAACGCTTGACAGAACATCTGAGATGTGAATTGTAGGCTGATGTAGCTACCAAGAAGCCGGCACGCAAGCGTGCATGCGTGTATGTACATACCTTTATGTACATGTGTGTGTAAGTGTGGAACAGTGTAAGTATGGAAGACTGTAAGAGTGTAATAGTGTAATAATGTAAGAGTGCACGGTTGTAGGACTTTGTGTGTGTGTGGTGTGTTTGCGTGTGTGTGTGTGTGTGTGTGTGTGTCTTTGCTTGGGTGTGTGCCTGTGTTTGTGTGCTTTGTGGTGTCTGTGTGTGTGTGTGCTGTTTGTGTGCTTGTCGAGCTAGTGAACGTCTACCCAACACATAAGGGTGCGAAAGTCGGATCCGATCTTTGTGCAATGTAGTCACCACCAACTTTCCTTTGTGTGCGACATGTTGCGGGCTAGTCTGTTTTTGTGACCCCTGTCAATGCATGCAGCTCCAACCGCCAACCGAGCCGGCTCGAAAGATCGCTACTGATTCTGCCTTGCGGGTTCTTGGTTTCTCATTCAGGCAGCGAATGCGGTGCCAATGAAGGCGGGACTGGACGGCGCCGAAGAATGGCCATGGGGAATTGGTGTGACCTTTGAGCCGTTAGCCTTCATTTCTTTGCCTTTTTGGTTGGTTTCTTGTTGCCTGTTTTTTCCCCCAGCAGCTGAAAGCTTTGGGGTCGATAGGCCCAGATACGCTTGTTCGAGGAAGCTTGGAGCAGCACTCTGGGAGCACAGAACCATCAACACCTGGACCAAGCCCTTCTATATATAAGCGATTCTCTTTATTCGACAACGGGTGAGGGTGGGGAGCAAAAGTACGTTCAGAACCACTGCTTTGCTTTGGGAAAGCACGTTCTCTATTGGGCTTTGCAGCATCTGCCGTGGTGCATGGTTGTTACCGTGCGTCGCCTTCCGCCTTCGAATTTCTGCGTGGCCTTTTGATTTCTCTGGGGTCAGCGAAATGCCGACACGGGCCGAAACACAGCTGCATCTTTGGAAAACCTAGCAGTTTTGACCCACAATGAGTTACACAAAAGACAGACGCAGGAGTATGTGCCAGAAACCACTATTCATAGGATTCAATCTGCCTATTTTATAGCGAGCTCACCTGGGCCAGGGTATAACGAGCTCACCAGGAGAAAGGCCCTTTACTTGGAGATCCCTTAGTTCAGCTTTTGGAATTATACTAAAATTTGCAAAGCTCATGAGAAAGCATGTCCAATGGGGGAAGTGGTCGGCCACACACTTTTGGCAGCGGGGCCAATTACATCTACCTGGTTGGTGCTGGCTGATGCATAGGCTTTCCGGGATCTATTGACGGGTTGAATTCATTTGGGGCACTTAGTCAAGTATCCTAGTGAGATGGCGCTGTTGCCACAGGATGCAATGGCGGTATCTTCCAGCCAGGAATATGTCTTTCGAATGTTTCATGCTCCGATTTTCCGGTGTGTCACTAAGAACCAACAACCCTAAGTTCCCCCCTTGGTTTTGGCCACACTCGAGAATGTGTTGCCTTTGCTTTTTGTGGCGACTCAATGTCAAGAGGGCGAAGCGGGCGAAGCAGTGCTTCTAGTGGCTGTGAACCGTGATGTATCCAAGAGGTCAGTGTCAGTGCCCCTCTCACACTCCTGTGTGTGTGTGTGTGGTCCATCACAACAACAGCAACCTTTGCGCGTGTAGTGTTTGTTTGCACCGCACTTTCTTTTTTTCTTGGCATCTCGATGACGTCGGTCCATCTAACAGAGAGATTCCTTTCAGGCAGAGACCGCCACAAGGAAGACCGTGGAGGACGAGGCTGGCTGAGGGAGATTTTGAGAAATAGGTGGAGTGGGACCCCCTCGATCCATAAACTCCTGATTGGGTCAGGAGATCCAGATTACTTCTGAATCCTATTTGCCAGGCTGGTTCACACTGCTGCCCCGGAAAACATGGGCAGCGTGCCCTTGCAAACAGCTCCGTTTTATTCATGTCGGCATGGCCGGCAATTTGGATGGGCGACCAGGAGGGCCACGGGTGAGTTAGTTCCTTTGTCAAATAGTTTGTGTTGTTCGCAAGTTGACAATTGTCAAAGAAGGATGATTATAAGCTTCAAGCTGAAGTCAAATTGCAAAGCATGGCAAAGTCTGTGCCCTAACATGCTGTCGAAGCGAGCAACTGCAACGGCTTCAGGATGTCTGTCAGCGCAACTTTACAACACCTCATTCCTCACATATCCCAAGTGGCAAGACATGATGCTCACCATACGTTTCGTTTGTGGTTGCGAGACAACTGTTGTTTCCAAGTTGCAAGTCACTGTCGCTTTGTGCTTTCCACGCGTCGTTTTTTGTGTTGCCTGTACATGAATTGTTTCATCGGCGAACACCCGCTGGCCCACGCAGATCCAGACACAACCGGACATGGCAGCAGGTAGAGTATGTCCTACCAGTGCAGCCAATAAGGGGATTCCTAAATGTTGGGCCAGCTTTGGGAGTTTTATCCAGAATAATGCTTAGCGTGCCTAATTGCCGCAAATGGATTCAAATTAGTGACCCGTGTTCAAATTAATGACCCCCAGCTTGCATCACCAGAAAATATCTAGTTTGGCAGCCTAGAGCCAATGCATGAGAAGCCCATCGTGGGTCGGCCAAATCAGGTGTTCTCATCCAGGTACTTGAGTGCGGTTCCTTCGGGCATGGGGTTCTATTCTCTGAATGTTGACCAAGCTCCTCGACTCCCAATTGGCTCAACATGGCCTTTTCAGTGGCTACATGTATCATGTTGCTTTGTGCCCTTACATGTGGGGTCGACACATTCTGTTAGCAGCCAAATGGAATTTGTGCTGATGGTGTTTGCCAAAACCCATTGTTCACGGGCTGAGTTGTTGCGGCCGCCAGTGTACCTTGGCAACACAGCCAAGATAGGTCAGTTGTCGCGGGACGCTTATTCACAAAGCACAGGGGCTTGTTGAGAACACACATGTCATCACTTGCATAGTGCCGGCTTTTGTCAATTAGCACACATGTTATTGACGAACGGGTTTCTGTGCTAGCTGAAATCAGTACGTGCGTCAACACATTGACCATTTGACAATGCACACGATATTCAAGGATGTCTGAGGTGCAAGAGTCATGTGTGCTCAGTCCTCAAACGTAATTACCAGATATTGAAAGCTCAGCATGAAAGGGTCGTTGTGGCTTCCTGTACCCACTTTTGACAAACGACTCTATGAACATGCACTGTTATGAGTACGACTACACAAGTGTTCAAACAAGCACATCAAAGGGCTATATGAGGTGGCGCGAGTCCCTGTCAAGATTAGATTTTGGCAACGTTTTTCCCAAGAGCCGGTGTCAATTGACAATGCCAGTCACAAGTTGCCAAGCATGCAATAGACGACTCAATTGAGCAGGCGGATGATCCCGTAAAGACACAATATGACCAGATTAAAGACTCAGCATGTGAACAGGAAACACATGCTTCGCCTTATGACTGACATATATATATATATATATACACGTAGCAGAAGTCCTTATCACAGGAGCAATGGCATCACAACATCACATGGGTGTGGTTTCTGTTCTTGAGGGTACCTGGTTGGGCTGGTTCACAAGCGGAAACAACCTCTTTTTTTTGGGGGGGTCCCCTATGTTAAGACAGACGATCCACATGTCAATCTTGGCAAGCTATACCGACGTCACTAGGTGGCTTGCGACGGCATTTGAAGTGAATATGTCTTTCTTTGGGATGCCTTATTCTTGGTATGTGAATAGTGCCCAGATTGATTGTACTAAATCTACATGAGCGAGCCCGAGTTACCCCTGAGGAGCGGAGCAACCGAGAGGACCCTGAGGGAGCTGACGTGCACGATTGTACTTCGCTCGCTCCCTTGCGTCGCAACAACCCTGGGGTTAGCAAGGAAGTTGGTCCCTGAATTGGCGTGTGTTTTGTTAGGCTGCCCCCCCCAAATGGTGGTTATCTTTTTTTGGTTTCCCTTTACAACCGCCAAAAAGGGGGGGGGGCGCTCAAAACGATACATCCGAATTGGTGGTATATGTTGGCTTTGTTTGGATTGGAGTTGCATCCCAGCTGCTCTTGGAAGTAAACGAAAAAGGAGTTGGGCCTTGCCAGTCATGTCTAAAAGGGAGCACTCGGATGAGGGCAATGCCAGCATGCTTTGGGAGGTCACAAGAACATGCGATGTGTATCGTGGTTGGATGTTTTTCAACCTCCCAGGTTTGCTGTTTTGAACCAAGCCGCCGAGCTCAATTGTGTTTTGTCCAAATGGTCTCTGCGTGATCCGTGTTGTTGCGTGTACATCTTCGCATTCGACCCAACTGCTACCCTTCGTGAGCATTCCTGGCAGGAAGCACAAATGTGTGTGTGTGTGTGTCTGTTTGGGCGTGTCTGTGACTGTGTGTGTGTGTGTGTGTTTGTGTGCGTGTGTCTGTGTCTGGGTCTGTGTTTGTGTCTGTGTCTGTGTTTGTTTGTGTCTGTGTCTGTGTCTGTGTTTGTGTTAGTGTGTTGTTAGGTGTGTGTGTGTGCGCGCGCGTGGACACGGGTGATTGCGATTGTCGGCGATTGTTGTGAGTTAGCATGTCATATTGTTTCGGTTATGTGACTGTGTGTGTGCGCGTGTTGCAACGTAACATCATGTCGTGTCAATTATTGCTGCGACACGGGGTTTGATTCCACCAAGCAGGGGGTGCACAAGGCAAACACACATCCACATGTTGTGCCGGAGTTGACTGTGCTTGCGCATTCATAGTCAGTTCTCATAGGGCCAAGCAGGTTGCACTGCACGGTCTTTGACTAGGGGTGCCTCGGTCACTTCGGGGGTTCTGTTCTTCCTCGGTACCCCCGGTTCGAATGCATGTAATTCTGTTGACATGGGCGGAATAAAACATGGCACTCCAAATGGACGTGACAGGGCGGCCGCCCGCTTTGTGGATCATTGACCGAAGTTTGGCCTGATCATTTTGCCTCCGGTCCGGTCCACTGCTTCTGATTGACCTGGAAACGTGGCTCGTGTCTGCACAAGCATCGCAGGTTCAATGCACCCAGTTCGTTTTTCTGGCAGCTTGGGTTTCCGATCTATCATGGGAGAACAGAAGGTTTTTGCCATCACAGGGCTGGGCGGGGGAGGGAGATGGGGGGAGGGAGCCCAAATAAGCCCCTTAATAAGGGCTTAGCTTTAAAAAGGGCTAAATTTGACTCCCCCCCATCTCCCTCCCCCTCCCAGCCCCATGATACCAGTCCGGGGAAAAAAAACAAGCCTTCCGCAGGACGCGTCGCATGCCCGGGGTCCTGCGGGGACTATCAGCCTGCCCGTGAAAACTCGGCCAGAAGTATGGCTCAGTTCTCCAGAAATGGCAAATGGCCATGGTGGAAACCACCTGGATTGCTATGGACTTTGTTAAGACTTCCAGACTTTCACTGGTGGGGAAATCCAGCATGGTTTTTTTCCATTGAACCAACTCACCGAAAGTTGAAACAACTGCTTGCGGAGAAATCGACGGCAACCCGTGAGCGCCTTCCCACGAGGTTAGAGTTAGAGGTTGGGTTAAAGGTGAGCGTTAGAGGCTACAGGTCAAAGAAGTTAGAGGTTGGAGGTGGAGGCTAGGCAAGTTGGAGGGTGGGAGTTAGAAGTTAGACAGCCCAACTTTGCCTAGAAACGTGTCTTAGAGGAGAAGTGTGTCTGCAACAACGGGAAGTCGGTCGCGTTCAACGAATATTTGCCCAAGCCGCTGGCCGAGCTGAAAGTGTCGACCAATTTAGTGGAGCGCTGATATCTGCGGTTCAGCGGAACATGTTTCCAGACTGGGCTGGTGTGGTGGTGTCGACCAGTTCAGCGACGAGGTTAGAGAGTTTGAGGTCAGAGAAGCGAGAGGCTATCGGAGGTTAGAGTTAGGGGTTAGAGTTAGAGGTTAGCGTTAGAGGTTGGCGTTAGAGCTTAGACGAGTTAGAGGTTAGACAAGTTAGAGGTTAAAGCTACAGGATAAACTTACAGGTTTCAGTTCGAGGATAGCCAAACCAATTTTGCCTGAAGACATGTGCAACTTCTGCATGTTTCTAGACTAAGCCGCTGGTGATGCTGGGGGTGGCGACCAATTTCGTCTTTGGAACGTCAAGTCAGTCTACAAACTCTGCAGCGGAAGACGTGTTCCTACACAAAGACGCTGGTGATGCCGAGGAGTGTCGACTAATTCATTAGCGGGATTGGATGTTTGAGAAGTTAGTGGTTAGAGTTTGATGTTATAGAAGCTATAGAGGTCAGAGTTAGATGTTAGTCGTGTCAAACATCTGGGACCGATCTTCCAAGACCCGGAGCTCTGGGGCTGGTGAAAACGGCAATCCAGATTCTCGAGTCTAGCCTGCCAACATGTTCTGAGCCACGGCCTCATGTAACCAAGTAGCTACTGGCGCGAAGCCTGCGCGCCTCGTGACCAGATGAAAACATGTTGCATTTGCTTGGCATTGTCACTTCCTTTCATGTGTTGCTTTTCATATCTATACTGAGGATACTTTGTTCTTTTCATATACATATTTATTCATATTTGTTATACATATATATATATATATATAATCCAATCATGTGATATCATGTTGGACCCTCTTGGTGCGAACCATGAGCAAGCGCACCGGGTAAATGACTCGGGTCAGGTCGATGTTTCTAGTTGATTCCCTCCAGCCACCACTCCCCAGCTGCTTGCTTTCTATGTTCCGCCCATATTGGGCCCACTGAGTGAACAGTCCAACCATCCGATTGGTTCCATGGACATGTGGCTGCAAGCCCTGACAATAGTGAAGAAGTTTGTGTGTGTATGACATGATGTGTGAGTGTGTGTGTGTGTGTTTGTGTTGGGGGTTTGACGCAGAGAAAGAAGGGCTGCGCTGTACTTCAGATCCATTTCTGCTATCCAACCACAAGCACGTGTCGCCCTCTGCGCATTTATCTTGTTCAGGGCGCGGCATGTTGAACTGAAAGATGCTGGCAAGAGTTGCGTGGTCATAGCGGATACATGCGGCCTGCTCCCAAGCACCCCGACGGAGCACGTGCATCCAAACTGACTTTCTGAATGCCACGTTTGAAGCCCTGAATCTTGAAAGCGGCAACACACAACTGTCGAACATGTGTCATTTGGTTTATGCACTGGCACTCCTTACACCAAGAACAATGGGAGCTCGGAGTTTCCCAGTTTTCTCAGGCTGAGCGGAGGAACCGGGAGGACCGTGATCGGGAGCGTGGCGGCAACCGCGAGTGCCGGATTCGTTTGGAAGACCGACGCGAAGGGAATGACCGCCGCAGCTCGGCTTTTGACCTTGCGCAGATTCTTGTGCCGCTGTATTTTCAACTTGTCAGGCTTTTTCCCTAGATAGCTTCAGCTATACGGGTTCTAACTTCTAATAAAGAGGGGAAAGTGATGTGCGAGATTGGGCTAGTGCTAGGGGGCGTGCGGTTTGGGGTGCTGGTGTAGGTGCTGATTGGGGTGCTGTTTGAGGTGCTGATGGCAGTGCGAGTGCATCCTTTCAAGATTGACGGTAGGGTACTAGGGGGCATGTAGTTTGGGGTGCCTGTGCAGGTGCTGTTTTGGGGGGTGACGATGCGCGCGAATTTTTGCATCTTGACGGTAGGACGCGGGGGGGAATGCAGCTTGGGGTGCTGCTGCTGATGGTGCTGTGGGACGCAGTTTGTGGGGAGCTGTTTGAGGTGCTGGTGACGGTGCGGGCGCATTTTTGCAATATTCACGCTCGGGTGCTGTCGGGCATGCAGGTGACAGTGCAGGCACATGTTTGCATCTTGACGGTAGGGTGCAAGGGGGCAGGCAGCTTAGGTGGTGGTTTGGGATTCTGATTGGGGTGCTGGTTGATTTTGGCGAGATTGACGGCTGGGTGTCTTGGGGCGTGCTGTTTGGGGTGCTCTTCAGGGTGATGGTGCGGGCGCATTTTTGCTCAATTGACGGCCGGGTTTTGCTTGGGGCGTTGTTCGGGGGGAGTGCTTTTGGAGGTGCTGGTCTGCAAGCGCTGCTATCTGGGGTCTACGCTGGTGTAATTTGTTTTTGTTTTCATGTTTTGTTCATCTTAATGCCCATGGTTTGAATTGAGCTACATGCAGTTACTGAAGTCTTGCATTGGCATTGTTGGTCCACCGTCCAAAGCAGGCAACGAACTGCGGAGCCGCGACCGGCGGGATGACCGTCGGGACGATCGTCGGGACGACCATCGAGACGACCGTCGGGACGACCGACGAGATCGTCATGACCGACAGGAGAGGTCGGGCGGAAACCAAAAACCACCCGTGGGAATCACGGCGTCGGCTCGTTTTCTGAGTGGGTGGAATGCTTTCAGGAACTCGCTGCTGCAGTGCAAGTACAAAAGTCCGGATGCATAATGACTACGCCTTGAAGATTTGTAGGTATATGATGCAGTTGACTTGCCCGTATGTAACATTTACACTGGGTATACATATATATATATACATATTATGCACCATATTATGTAGTATCAATACTACGGTTCATATACACGTATGCATACTTCATTGTCTATCTGTG